TTTACTGACTTGATTTCTTCGCGGGATTTCTTCCGGCTTATGTCTTTACGGGATTCATTCCCGACTGGATGTCTTTGCGGGATCCTTCCCGACTTGATGTTGATCAGAATTCATTTCTGACTTGATTTCTTCGCGGGATTTCTTCCCGGCAAATGATGTCTTTACGGGATTCATTCCCGACTTTTGATGATGTGAAATCAACTTATTGACTCGAGCTCGTATGATAGTGATGACCTAGGCGAATGCTCGACTTTGTTGTTCTGTAGTGGTGTTTACCACTGGTTGACTGAAATATGACTTGTATTCATCAACAAAGGTTTTTGAATACCCACCATTATAGGGGTAACTTGCAGTGGCTTAGTGTTGAAGAAGCTTTTATGCTTTCGAGTTTCGTGGCTTCGCATGTTTTGAAATTCTTGAGGTTAATTTGATTCCTTTATCTGAACTTATCTTCCTGGCTGATTTTTGAAACATTTATTTTCCTCAAATGGTTTCTCCTCTCCATAAGAATTTTGAGGAGACTCTTCTTTTCCTTGTTTTGAGAAATGATCCTTGTTTATTAAGGACACTTTACTTGTGCCATTGCTTGGCGCTTGATTTTTCAAGGTGTTTGTTGTCATCCAATTTGTGGAAATGATTTGCTTTCTTTTGAACTTTGATTTTTTCCGAAATGTGAGCAGCCGCTTGGGTCTTTGTCCTTATGGCTGAAAATGATTTTCATCTACCCTTGATGGCTTGAATTTAAACGGAGAGCTTGCAGTTGACCCGTTTTTTTGACAACTTGATTTCCTGTAGCTTTGTCCTTGATTTCTTTTCTTTTTGTGCAGAGAAGTCCTTTTGACCCATTTTTCTTTTGCTTCTTGCGGAAGCAGGCCTCTCCATAAAAGAATTTCAGGTTAACTTCATTCTGAGATGACTTGAGTAGTGTATGGATTAGCATTGCAACTTTCGTGCAGACCCAACCCATCCAACATAACTTCTTTATTTCTGTCGCTTTTTAAGCTCGAAATTCAACACCTCCTCTGTCGGGCACCTTCCATTCCTGGGTTCTCGGAGAAAACCATTCTGGGCCCTAACCCCTTCCAATCGGCTTTCCTCCGTACTGTTTGAAGTCTTGCATACCCTTTGCTAGATCTTTTCCATGATTACCCTTCAAAAATTTCCCCTTTGAAGGTGCTTCTTAGATGGCCCCCAGCCTTTGATTTGATGCAGAGCAAAATGAGATGCATTTTTCTTTGCCAATTTTTATTACTTTTTTTTTTCATCATTTTTTTTTGATTTTTATTATTCTTTTCGATTTTTTTGCTTTCACAGGAAAGGATAGGGGAAAGAGTATAAACATTAATTGGAACAATAAACTGATCCCTTTAATTGATAAGACAATATTGTGTACAAAAAGACACTTTAGATTTTATAATGAAAACTTCAATGGAAGATGAAAAATGAAAAGGAAAAAAACTAGGGACCCTAAAAGATAGAACCTTCTAGGTGGACTGTGATGACTATACCATAAAATATCAAATAACAAAAAAAAAAAATCTCAGGGGGAGAGAGGTGGGTGGGGATTGGATCGACTGTAGTTGACTTTGTTCTTCTCGATGCTTCAATCGGATCAGACATGTTGTTGTTGGTCTTGAACAATTCCTTGTTCTTTTGGGAGCTTTATCTCAACCTTTTCAGACAGAAAAGTCTCGAAAAGGAATCGAACGATTCTTGTTCAGTAAAATTTTTTTTTGCATAATCCTCATGGTTAGGCAAAGGGATTGTTGTTATTAGCTTGCTTGGGAGACGATGTGATGGACCCATTGTCAAACCAGGTCTTGTAGGCGGTTTTCAAAAGTCCAGCATGATTCGGTTCTGTATGCCATGTCCTTGATGGTACTTCACAGTATTCATTGGCTTTGAAATCCGGGGCAGGGGTTTGTAAATGGCCTTGCTTCTAAGGGCTTCGAGTAAATTTGCTTTCACTGCTTCTCGAACACCAAAAAGGGATTGCATGCCGATCAGTATATTGCCTCCTTGGGGCTTATTGGTTTCCCAATGTCCCAAACACGTAAAAGTATTCGTGGGGATTATACTGCTATTTCATTTGTCTTCACTAGACCAAGCATGATTTTCTGCTTTTTCTGTATGAGTCTTCTTTTGAGTTACCAACTGTGATTAAGTCTTCCACCTTAATTGCATTGCAATGACGCGAAATGGAACGCAGGCAAGTACTTGTGTTTGAAGCTGTGACTGGGTAGGACAGTTAGGTAATTCTTTTGATTATTATGTCAACTTGTTCCTGTCAGAGAGTCGGTTGAATTCATTTGAGCAGCTTTTCTCCTCCACCTCGAAAGGAACGAGGAGAAGTTGCTCATTGTTCTTTTGTTTAGTGGTTTCCAACTCCCTCCGGGTAACATCCACTTCGATATTATAATGGTATGGTATCTAAACGGCATTTCAGATTGTCTTCCCAGGTCTTCATTTTAGACCGTCTAGGCTGAACAAAACCAAATCTCAAAGCAGCACCAAGTGAGTGATTGTTGAAACAAAACTGAGCAAAGGAGCTCGCTGTTTAGTCCGAGGGTTTAGGCACCCACCATACATTTTCAGGTCGTTTTTGGGGACAAAGGTGGTTGCCATCAAAACTTGTCCGATGTTTGGGCATTCTTGAATTTTTGTTGGCAGTCTCGCTTCGGAACAAGGACAAGGAGTCCATGTCCTAACCTACTTCCCTTGTGTGTTTTAATGTGGCAGTGATTTGACCTTTGCCAAGAGCTTTCCAATTTTCTCTTCACTTTCTGAGCTTTCCAGTCAGAAGGCATTCTAGAGGCATTCATCCAGTGTTAAGGGTCAAGGGGTTTGTCGGTCAGCACCAGGTCCTTGATTGAGTAGCAGGTCCACTGTCCCCCAGCGGAAGCCCCATTTCCCATACCACCAACCTAGTTCAGCTATTAGGGCAGTCCTATGGCAGCCAAACGCCTCATTCATTCTAGCCTCATTCTGGCTTCCAGTTGTTCAATGAGGTTTTGGATGTCATGAGAAGTGATTGCCATTGGATGCAGTCGGGGGTTGTTGGACTTGTGGAAGGGGAGAGCTCAGTCCGGGATGTTTCGGGTACATGTGGCTTTTAGAGGGGTACCTGTGAAAGGACATAGTCAAAACGATTAGGACTATTTCTATATAAGGTGTTTTCATTAGGGTATATGAGATAGCTGTGAGGTAGTAGGTGTAAGGGTAAGGATTTGGACTTGGACCCCTGTGTATTTGTGGGGTGGGTTATGACCAAACAATGTAGGGGTAGCGTAGGTAGGCTAGGACACCTAGGATAGGACCCAATGGGATGTGATAGTGTTAAGGTAGAGCTGCTTTAGGGCTGACACCTCGACTTTTCGGAAAGGCCCTAAGTTCCTCAAAAGAATTTTTTTTGGCCTTTAGGGGCCAAAATGTGGAATTTTTGGCCTTTGAGCCAAACATTGTTGAGTTTTTGAGCTTTGGGGCCAAAAGGGGAATGTTATTGGGCCTTCGGAGAGCCAAAATAGGGATTTTGGCCTTAGGGCCAAAGATGGGAATTTAGGGCCTTAGAGGCCAAAGATGTGAATTTTTGCTTTGAGGGCAAATTGGGAATTTTTGGCCTTTGGAGCAAGAATGATGAACTTGGGCCTTAGGGCCAAAATGGAAATTATTTAGGCCTTTGGGCCAAAATGAAATTATAGGGCTATGGGGGCCAAGATGTAGAATTTTAGGCCTTGGGGCCAAAATTGGGGAATTATTTGGCCTTGGGGCCAAAATGGTGAAACTGTTTGGGCCATAGGACCAAGATGTGAACTTTTTGGCCTTTAGGGCGAAATTTGGAATTTTGGGCCTGTTAAGGGCCAAGATGGTGAACTTTTTGGGCCTTGGGGCCAAATTGGGAATTTTTGCCTTCGGGGCCAAAATGAAATTTAGGGGCCTTGGGGCCAAGATGTGAAATTTTGCGGCCTTTGGGGCCAAGATGGAACTTTTGGGGCCTTGGGCCAAATTTGGGAATGTTTTGGGCCTTACTTGGGCAAATGGGAAATTTAGGGCGCCTTGAGGGGCCAAGATGTGAATTTTTCAGTCTTAGGGACCAAAATGTAATTTTTCGCGATCTCAGAGACCAAAACGTAATTTTTCAGGTTCTCAGACCAAAATGTGATTTTTGCCAGCTGTTGAAATGGAATGTTTTTTTTTTGTGAAGCATGGGATAGAATGTGTGAATCCGCATAACATCACAACACAGCATAATTCATTAGTATATTGATTCTCATCATGGGTAGCATAACAGGTCCTAAAGGATATTCTATAGGCTATGACACAAATAGAGAATAGGCGTTAAATAAGGGGACCCTGAACCTGAGTATGGGATATACCCAACCACATTGTGTGAAACAAGGGATTTTCGCGTGGGTTTCCGAACGGTACGCATACTATGGCGCCATCCCCAAAAGGATTAGGGACGTGCGGGTAACAGGGAGGGG